TATATATATATATATAAGCATCTGGACAAACAAAACACCCACAATAGTCACAGAAAAAAAGTTCACTTTGACAAAAAATTTATTAATTATAAAGTTTAATGAAAATTAACAAACTGAAGTCAGACATTGCTTTTAATCATACTTCAACAGAATTATAAATAAAACTAGTCATGATTCCTTCTTGGACAATATTGATGGGTTAGTCCAAAAAAATAATGTTACCAATGGTACATGTTAAATTATGTTTGCACTAATTAGCAACACAGGTGTGTACAATATTTTAATCAGTCAGTGTTCCTATATATGGGGCTACGGGTAGTCACTGTGCTGCTTGGTGGATGCCGCTCATGTTGGGATCTGAGGGAACGAGAAAGTTTAGAAGGGAGGAATCAGTTATCACCCAAGAAAGGTTAGGTCATTGCACACTTTTAACCCTTTAAAGCCTGGACCATAAAATAATTGACACTTTATTAGAGTCGTCATTGAACTTTCTGACAAATGACATTTAAAAAGGAAGTTTGTATAAGTTAAATTTGATCATTTGTTTGCATCAAATTTGATACATAAGGTTTTTCTCGATAATCATTTAAACGTTTTCTGTTCCCTACATGCGACCTATTGTGTAAAATAAATCAGGGTTTTCAAGAATAAAAATCTAACACTGAGGGTATAGAGGTCTCAAAAAACCCATGTATCAAATATAATACAATTGGCCTTAAAGGGTTAACAGTACCTTGCACATAATTGGGAAACATGAGACAGGGAGATGTGAAGGTTATGAGGAAGTAGTGATGGTGAGATGAAGCCTCATGAGGCATTGAACCGTTTGGCCAAATTGCTTCAAAGGTCCCCACAGTTCATGAAGCTTCATGTGAGCATCTCACCACCTACTGGTGGAGTGCAGAACTACAGTTAATAATATAATCTGTGATTTTTTTTACCATTTTTTCCCCCCATTTAACTTCCTTTGAAATTGTTAATGATTGGTGTGTAGAATAAAACATTTTGTGAGTTTTTTGTGTAAAATGTCTTAGACGAGAAAAATTATTTAAGGGACACTTACTGTTTTTCTGCCATTCTAGTGAAATAAGCTCAGGTAAACAGTGAAAGTGTTTGTGCAAATTGGGCAAAGATGAACTATGGACAGATGAGAAAGAAATTTGACTTTTTGCCAAGGCACATGAGCTCTATGTTCACAGATGGGACAATTAAGCATATAAGAAAAAAACAAACACTGTCCTACTGAGAAACATAGGGGAGGCTCCTTTATGATTTGGGGCTGCCTTGCTTCATCTGATACAGGGTGTCTTAAATCTTAAATTAAATCTAAAGAATATCAAGGGATTCCAGAGAGAACTGAGTTGCTTGTCTTGCAACATGATAATGACCTAAAACACACAGCTAAAAACATCAAGAAAAGCTGAGAGGCAAACATTGGACTGTTCTGAAGTGATCTTCTGTGAGCATGTGGAGCAGTTTACCCATGAGGAATGAACCAAAACACCTGCTGAGAGATGCAGAAGTCTGATTGACAGCAACTCTGGGTGTAATTAAGCCTTTTATTAAACAAGGAATGCAAGATTTTATCATTATGTCATGTTTTTATACAGATTTTCCATCTGTTTT